TATATATATATATATATATATATATATATATATATATATATCCATCATCTATCTATCTATCCATCGATCTATCTATCTCTATCATCTCTCTCTATCCATATGATCTATCTATGTATGTATCTATGTAATATCATCTCTCTCTCTCATCAATCTATATCTATCACCTACCTACCTATAACATCATAACATTTATATGTATCTATTTATATGTCCATTTCATATAGTCATAAATACATTTACGAATACATAACCTCCTTGGATATTTAACGAGTTATATAAACGATAGTTTCGTCAATCTCCAAATTTAAGATGCTAGGACTTTCAACCCTCAGAATTCCCCAAGTAGATTACAAAGACTTCCGTTCCCCAGAATTTCCCCAGCCAGAATGCAAGAACTTCCACTCCCATCGTCCCCCAGCGAGCCCATGTGGACTTCAACTCCCAGAATCCACCACCTCTCTTAAATAGGAATCAGCCGTTAATTTCAACAAATCCTGGCCAGCAGAAGTCCTCGGAGTAAGAGGATGCAATGCAACGCTTCCCTCGCAGAGCTAGCTTTCTACATGCAGGGTTCTCAACCAGCGTCCTGCAGGGAATTTTCCTGCTGAACGTTTTCTGGCCTCTGGGTTTTTATTTTAGTTTTGTTGCTGTTTCTTTGCTTGCCACGTCAAAAAAAAAAAAAAGGGTGTGCCCTTTCGGTTTTGCTCCTTCGACAAATTTACACAGCTAAGTTTATTTCCAGCCTGGATCAATACAATCAAGGAACCACAGGGCGAAAAAGAGGAAATATAAAATTATAGAATTATACGGATGGAATCCTCTCGAGATAAAAATTTCCCTTCATTTCCCAGACAAATATTTACAGGGAGTCCTGGCGTTACGACCACAATTGAGTCCCAAGATTTTTGCTGCTAAGCGAGACCGTTGTTCAGTGAGTTTCGGGAACTTTCTTCCCACGGCTGTTCAGCGAATTTCCGCAGTTCATAAGTTAGGAACACGGCTGTTACGTCACCGTCATAAATGCGAGCCAGTTTTCCAAGGGTCCGGATTTTGATCACGTGACACGGGGATGCTGCCACGGTCGTAAGTGTGAAAAAAATGGGGTTTTTTTCCCCAGTGTCGTTGGGGTTGGACTAGAAGACCTCCAAGGCCCCTTCCGACTCTGTTCTCCTGTATTCCGAAACTCAAGAGTTTCAAAGAACCATAAAGTCATAAAACGGACAGGTGGAAAGTTGTAAAACCATCTGTGTTTATCTAAAGAACCGCAAAGCACACTAAGTGAACTATGCCTTCTGACACAGACGAAGAAAATAGAAATTATACCATAAGAGAGAGGGAGGATGGGGAGAGAAGAGAGAGAAAGGAGAGAGAAAAGAGAGAGAGAGGATGAATGAATGAATGCAGGGTGGATGGCAGCTGCTTTGGCTGAAAAAAAGAGCAGTTACCCTTAAAACCCTTTAAAAAAATAATCACCATTGCTTGGAGGGCAACCAAACACAAAATAAAAAAAAAATGTTTTCGTCAGCTTCAGTTTTATAGTTTTAAAACAATTTGATGTGTCTTTCAAGGTTGCATTGGCGGGCAGCCAAAATTGGTTGAGAAATTGGTGGCTGAATGAATAAAGGAAGGAAGGAAGGGGAAGAAGAGAGGAGGAGAGGTGAAGAGAGGAAAGGAGAAAAAAGAAAGAAGGTAGGCGAGAAGGTGGAAGGAAGGAAGGAAGGAAGGAAGAAAGAAAGGAAGGAAGGAAGGAAGGAAGGAAGGGAAAGAAGAGAGGAGGAGAGGTGAAGAAAGGAAAGGAAAAAAAGAAAGAAAGAAGGTAGGTGAGAAGATGGAAGGAAGGAAGGAAGGAAGGAATGAAGGGAGGGAGGGAGGGAAAGAAGAGAGGAGGAGAGGTGAAGAAAGGAAAGGAAAAAAAGAAAGAAGGTAGGTGAGAAGATGGGAGGAAGGAAGGAAGGGAGGAAGGAAGGGAAAGAATGAGAAGTGAAGAAAGGATAGGAAAAAAGAAAGTAGGTGAGAAGGTGGAAGGAAGGAAGGAAGGAAGGGAGGGAGGGAGGGAGGGAAAGAATGAGAAGTGAAGAAAGGATAGGGAAAAAAGAAAGAAGGTAGGTGAGATGATGGGAGGAAGGAAGGGAGGGAGGGAGGGAGGGAGGGAAAGAATGAGAAGTGAAGAAAGGATAGGGAAAAAAGAAAGTAGGTGAGAAGGTGGAAGGAAGGAAGGAAGGGAGGGAGGGAGGGAAAGAATGAGGAGGAGAGGTGAAGAAAGGATAGGGAAAAAAGAAAGTAGGTGAGAAGGTGGAAGGAAGGAAGGAAGGAAGGAAAAGAAGAGAGGAGGAGAGGTGAAGAAAGGATAGGGAAAAAAGAAAGAAGGTAGGTGAGAAGGCGGAAGGAAGACAGAAAGGAAGGGAAAGAGGAAAGGAGGGAAAGAGAAAAAAGAAAAAGGAAGGAAGGAAGATGAGAAATAAGTAAATAAATACTGAAAAACCCCTCAGTGATGAATTATCCACCACTTCAGGAGGCCCTTATTAGCGATATACACATTTTTCCTTTTCATTTGCAATCTTGCGAGATCTCAGTGCAGCACGGGTCTAATCCCACTCTCCACAACAGCCCTGTGAGGTAGGCCAGGCTGACATTACACCGCTGACACCACACCACCGAGCCGGAGGAGATGGGACCCCGTCATCTGCTTCGCATCCACAACCCACCAGACAACCCGAATTCAATTCCCCAAGCGCCGTCCCGTCCCGCGAATTGAAAACTTGGCCGTCATCCATAAAAGACACCCTGGTTTTCGTTAAAACGGGGCCTTAATTCTTGACGCTTCCCTCTGCCAAAACAAAAAGTGGGACATTGCAATTTGCTCAAAAGTTCAAAAGGTGCTTTGGAAGAGAAAGCGAGCCAAATTTGGGCTCATTCTTGATTTAAAAAAAAAAAAAAAGACCCGTGTTGGATTCACACAATGCTCGCGACCAGCTGATTGAAAACCCTAGAAGCTGCATTCTCTGTGTCGCGCAAAGATGGTTTAATCTCGGTTAGCTTTGTAGCAGCTTCACGACACTCTTTTCCTGCTACGCTAAGCAAACTCAAGATTTCTGATCTCTTTTAAGCCTAAACAGTCCAGCAAATACAGACTTACAGACTGTTCGGATGTCCGACATCCAGGCTGACCGTGTGTATCGTCCCCGTCGACCGGATATCCTTGTCCTTCGGGCTTGCTCTGACTGGCTTCTTCTGTACCGTGGCCAAAATCCCTGTTTGGTTTTGCCAGCTGGGAAGGAACTCCGGAAATCTCGGCTTGAGAATTATAGAGCTGAATTCGAGCGGCCACAAACCCCGGCGTGACGGACAGCTGTCGGACGAAGGGCTCGTCCAGTAGATGTTGGAAACGGGGGTAATGCAGCACCGGCGGCCCCTCGCTGTGAGTCGGAAGGTCCCACCTTCTCCACTTGGGACCGAACATCGCTGGGGTCCTCTAATCCCGCATGATTTTTGACCAAGGGATTTGTTTTTCCGGCATCCAAACGGCGGAGAGCAAATTGTCGTTTTGAGAGTTGCGCCCTCAAAAATGTGACAGCTCTGAATCCGAACTCAGCCGAGGGGGAGAATTCAAAAGATCTTTAAGTGGGGAGGAGGATGGACTTCAGCAGAACTTCTCGCTTTACTCAAAAAGGCATCTGGCTCAGCTGGGAATCTCACCTGGCAAAGGCTCGGCCGATGCAGGCGGAGTACAGATTTTCAAACGGGCACCAGGATGGCCAGGTGTTGGCACTTCCTGGTGTTTGTTGGAAACTTGTAATCAGCTCCAAAGGTCACACTCTGGAGCGGCAACAGGGATCTGCTATACGCCCATCAATCACTCAGAGAATTTATTTACCGTCCAAATAACAGGAACCAAACGTCTCACACCCTAAGAGGCAACTTCTGAACTTATAATTATTTTTCTCCCGCACTGGATCGCAATTTTTGTTCCTTTCGCCTTGAATGACGAATAATCAAAAGCCCTTTTTTAAGTTACAATGGACAACAGGCTGAATTGTAAAATTTAAGCCGAGCCCCCCAAAAATGCTGGAGGTCACCAGGAGTTATAGCGCAGGGCAAGGAAAAAAAGCTCTTGTTTTTTAAAAATAAAATAAAACAAAAACACTAAATGTCAACCAAAAAATAAAGGTTGAAAGTAAAAAGCAAGCATACGTGAAAAATAAGAGTTAAAAAAATAAATGAAAAGTAAAATTAGAGACAATATAAATTAAAATAAAATATTAGTTAAGTATAAATATAATAAATGAAAAGTGAATAAGAATTAAATATTAGTTAAATGTAAGTAAAAGATAAAATTGAAGATAAGTTAAATATAAAGATAGATTTAAATATATTAAAAATAAAATGAAAAAAGTGTGTGTGTGTGTGTGTATTCCAGCTTAACCCTGGAACGCCTCGAGCAATTTCAACCAAATTTGGTACACAGCAATAGCAGTTAGCAATAGCAGTTAGC